GCAGAGAAGGCCCTTCTCTGGGTAGTCCCCCTCCTAATCTCCTTCAGGGAGGGCACCTGGAAAAGGGCATCTGCCCCAGATCTTAAGGGGCAGTCAGGCATGTATGGAAGGAGACCAACATGGTCTTCAGGTAACCAGGCCCTAAGCTGTTTATTATAATTATTATGAATTACATTTCTATACTGCCCATAGCCAAAGCTCTCTGGGCAGTTCACAACATTAAGTCCCCCGTCCAGACTTCAGCCAAGCCCCATCCTGCTTAGCTTCCATGATGAGGCACAATCAGGCACTTCAGGCTATACAGAAGCTTGTAGCCTTGGAAAGTTTTTAGCAAATCGTTTGTGCCTGGTATCTAAAACAAGTCAAGTGCAGGCAAATATATGGGGCTGGTGGCCTTCCACAGCCAGCTTATCATAACAGAAAAATCCCCGCACAGAATATACTTGAATATCAGCATATTCTTCTCCAAGAGTCACTTTGGCCCTCCTGTTACTGCAAATATTGCCGATCGCAATAAGCATGATGCAGTGAGATTATGAAAAAGGGAATACGTGCAAAAGTAGAACCAAAGGGCCGGTATTTTAATCTGGGCCGTTTTAGCAATATTATGACACAATGTTAAGCAGAAAATGTCCCAGAAATCACACTGGGGCCCATTGGGGAATGCTGGGAGTGCTGGGAGTTGCCTCAGCATGCATAGGATTGTATCATGAACCATTTAGTCAGTCAAGTACTTGGTGATGAAGGATTATGGGCTGTTCATGCAGTCCATGAGCCATAAAGACAAACACTCCCATATCTTATATATGATTCTTCATCGGTTATATCAGCGCACGATATTTTCTCTTTTCCTGACTGAATGCCTGTGCTTTATATCAGGTTGAGCCCTTATGCGTGTCTAATGCAGAGTTTCTCGCACCTTTCCCTTCTTTCAGAAGCATTGCCCGCACTGGACAACCTCACTGTCTCAGACATTAACCCATATGGGTTTACAGTGTCCTGGACGGCATCCGAGAATGCCTTTGACAGCTTTCTAGTCATCGTAGTGGATTCTGGCAAACTGCTGGACCCCCAGGAGTTCCTCCTTTCTGGATCCCAGCATCAGCTGACACTTAGAGGTCTAATTACGGGCATTGGCTATGAGGTTGTGCTTTATGGTTTTGTCCACGGTCGCCAAACAAGGCCCTTAAGTGTTGTTGCTCTAACAGGTATTTTCGAATGTAACCGGAATGTTCTGTTCCTTTCTGTCTACTCACTTCTCTCCTCTGGAAGATGTTTCATGTCATCTCTGTTTACCAAACAACCATAGCTTCCTTCACCACAGGCTACTGACACATCCACTAATGTGATTCCATCTCCCTCTTTTTCTGGATGTTTATTTTCTGTCTCTCAGAGGGCCAAAATGAAGGGGATGGCTGCAGGTGTATGAATATTGGTTTATTTCAATGACTTTGCCACTCCATCCAGTGAGTGGCCTCTGATGTGCATTTTATCAGTCTTGGCATTTTTATTCAACCCCCCCTCTGACTTTGAGAATGAAGCTTACATGAGGTGGACAGAAGAAGCGGCTGTCTCCCATCCAAGCATCAACCAGTTCTGCTCCTGCTTAGCTTCAACACTTATGTTCCTAAGCTTCTCATGGGATAACTTAAGCTGATGGTATACAGTGAACTTCATGGCTGATCAAGTATTTTAAAGAGGGGCACCCATCTCCAAATCCAACATGAAGCTACGTCTTGATCCACCACGATGTTTTCTTCAGCAGAGTCTTTAAATAAGGAAGGGGATCAATGATAGAAATTTACTCTGGGAAGGAAGAGCTATCCAGTATTCTTCAGTAGTACAGTCCAATGGGAGCATTAACCTCCATTTCCTCCAGGATATTCCCAAGTATAGCCTTCACACACAAGGGAGACACAAGTCAATCTGCAACATTCTCACATCTTAACAACAACTTAATTGGACTAAGCTCTAATTTTCCTCATAGAGCAAGATATCCTCGTAAACCAGACCCCTTGATTACCCTCTTGGAAACTGTGCTATAGAATTAATTTATATCAGTACTCAAGAAAGCAAGTCTACATTCCAGGGACTGAGAAAACTCAGAGGTGTATCATGTGCTCTCGAAACAAACCATGGGACTTTGGCCGTGACCTTAAAATAAAAGTTCACAGTGTGGCATTTTCGTTAGTCTTGGTCACAATTTAGCCATGATTAATAATGACTGTAACAAATTTTGCCCAGTGTCCTGAGCCAGCAAATGCCATTGCAGAGGAAAAGGGGACAAGGCATTTATGAGCCGTCCAGTGTTTAATTCATAGCTAATGATCTATGTTCTATATAATTACAGATGTTCTTAACTTGAGGCAACAAAAGACCATAGAACAGCCTAACTTATCATGGTTTTCTCTAGTTCTTTTTCTGAAGCCTAGTTTGAGTTCAGTTTCTAATCTAGCTCATCTATTCTCCAATCTTCAGCTGCACCATTTAGGTCTTCACCAATACTCATCAGCAGGACTTGTTCTCTCTCTCTCTCTCTCTCTCTCTCTCTCTCTCTCTCTCTCTCTCTCTGTGCAAGGAAAGCAGAGCCCATGCTGAGCATGGTGGAAGAACATTGGCCAGGCCAGTGTCTCTGTAGTGTATTGGATTGCAGAACCATGGCGCTACATTGATACTGCTTAATTAAGTTTCTTCCACCTGCACGAACATTAGAAGTGCCCTGATGGGTTGGACCAAATGTCCACCAAACCCAATGATGTCCTTCCAGCAGTAGCCAGCAAGATGTCCTTGGGAGTCTCCCAAGAATGGTATAATCACAATGGCTATCCCCTATTGTTTTTTCCCAGATTTCCAGTCAAAGGTACAATGCATGGGGGTTCCATTAAGCTGTCATGGTTAGTAGCCATTGGTATTACCAATTAATAGTCATTGCTAATAGCCACCGGGAGCAGTCAGCTCTGCTTCCTTTATTAATGATTTCAATTAGGATGCAATTTGCATTGCATCCACTTTTATATCTTCTGCCTCAACGAGATGCAGAATTTATGTCCAGGTGTGTTATCTCTGTATGTCATGAGCAATACCATTTCTTTCAAACGCTTTCTCTTGCACCAGGAAATGCATTATGCGAAGCCACACAAGATCTCTTAGAACTAGAGATCCCTGAAAAAGTTTGCCAAGCTTTCGGTTAAAATACATTGTACCTGGTGGTGGTCAGAGAGGTGGCAAAGAAAGTCAGGTTGTAACCCCGCCGCTGTGAACATTGTCAGTCTGGTTGCAGTATTTTAAGTCACATTGAAGTACAGGATGAGGACTTGCAAGAGGTCTGGAAGGGCAGGTATATTAAGAAACAGGGAGCTCAAGAACAAAGGAGGCCGATGGAGTGATGCCAAGTAGCCAGTGGGCTGAGGAAGACCAACTCCCCAAACTTCACACAAAATTCAGACAAAAAATTAGAAGAAAATGGCAAGAAGACTGCCTAGTCAAATGGCAGACAGCATCACAATGACAGGAGGAGAAAAGAAGTCAGCAGAACATGGGCAAAAGTGGGTAGGAGAATTAGGGTAACGAGTGGAGTCCAAGATAAGGATAAAGAGGCGAGCAGACTGGGATTGACTTTGGGTGTGAGTGAATGAGAATGAGGCCGATCCAGAAGAAATTTACAGTTTGGCTACTACAAATTGATAGAATTTAACTCTGAATCCAATCCATTGTTTTTGCTCATTGTGGAGCAAACTGTAAGATGAATTCAGCATGAGAAAATGGACAAGTCATATTAAAAGGGGCCAGAGAAGTGTTTTTTAAAAAATATTTAAGGGGTTACAATCATCCTCTTGGTAGGAAAGTGAGATTTTGAGTCATGAATGAAGAGGAATGCTTGTGCATCTCTAATTGATTACCCAGTGTAAGGGTCAGCCAGACCATTTGAGGGTCCAACTTTCTGAAGAAATAACCCAGTAACCAATTCGTTGGAAGAAACACCCTTTCAAAATGCCATGTTAGGGTCTGTGGTACACACATACAGAGTCTTCATTCTCTGCATCTAGTGAAAACTTGTGTGTGAAGGAAGACAGCTGTCAAATTTCAAGCGCTTATCACCTCGCCTCATCTCAAACATAAAAGCATTTCACCAAAAACAATTCAGATAATATTTTTGGCATTATTTCATGGATTAATATTTTAGGGACCTGTTCAGCTCCGTTTGGCAGGAGGCTTGGAAATATATTCTGTAGCCCAGTTCACTATTTTATTCCTGAGAACTGGCATTCTTGGGACACTCAGGTTTCAGATGACAATCAAAACCAGATTAGGCTATTTCTAACTGGGATTAGGTCCAGCCTGGAATACAGTCGCTCATTAGGAGCTGGGGAAAACTCCTCTTCTGAAACAACTCATTGTGGAATTTGGTGTGATATTACTAATTGAGCTATGTCGCCCATTTGGCAAAGATGCACCCATTTGGCGAAGATTTTGTATAAAAACTGTGATGAATTGGAGGGAGGAGGGGTTTTGCCCTCAAGGATAGGGAAAATGCTTGCAATGAAGTGAACTTGTAAAAGAAATATATAGATTATTTACAGTGGCGTTGCTTATAGTTTTCTAAAATGATTGGCAGAAGGACAGGCGACTTCGGTGGAAGACAGACTTGCTACCAGCATGTTTAATATTGCATGGTGGGGGGAAAAGGTTGTGTATGTACTGTACCCTCCTCTATTGCTTTGGGGTCCTCCAAGAGTATCCATGCTTCCATCCACAGCTTTGGTTTGGAATGTGTCTTGCTCCTAATCTCTGAATGCATTTTTCCCCTTCTGGATAGCAGATCTCCTGTTTCCATTTCTCTGAACTTGTGGCTGGAACATTCACACGCTAATCTGACTCGGGGGCTGATCATTTCGGAGTGTTCTTTCATCTTTTCTCTCTCTTGTTTTTTCAAAAATGGAAATTTAAATCTCTATTTCCCCCTTTCTGCTTTCTTTCTTTTTTCCCACTTCCAATTTCAGAAGCAGAACCTGAAGTGGACAACCTTCTGGTCTCGGACGCTACCCCAGATGGTTTCCGTTTGTCTTGGACAGCAGATGATGGGGCCTTTGACAGTTTTGTTCTTAAAATCAGGGATACCAACAGGCTATCGGACCCTCTGGAGTTAATCATTCCAGGCCATGAGCGCACCCAAGATATCACAGGGCTGAAAGAAGGCACTGAATATTCCATTGATCTGTATGGCGTTACCAGCGGACGGCGTTCGCAGCCTGTAAATGCATTGGGCACCACAGGTATTATCTGGGTTCAGCATGCCAAGGGAAAAGAAGGCATGATTCAGCAACATGCATGCGTGTGCCTTTCACAGCTCTCTCCACTCAGTCATTTGGAGCGCGATCCACACCGACCTTCTCTCATTGCAAGGCTGATTGAAAAGATGGGCAGGCGCTTTCCCCCAGTTAAGCCCCTACTCTGAGCTTTCCTGGCCGTTCTGATGCTCATGTCTGGAGTGTCATTGCTGTGTGGGCAAAGCGGAACAGGAAAGAAATATCAGCAAGCTCAAAAGAACTCCAGGGCTCACAGGACCCCCAGCTGGGAATGAGAACTAAGGTGGGATCCCTTACTAAGGAGGGAACATGACATAAAGACTTAGCACAATTAGTGTCCGTAGAATGACTGATCTTTGGAGGGGAGAGATCAAAACAAGGCTGGCTTTTTCTTCCGCAAGGTCCTTGGGCAAGATGCTGCATCCCTTTGGATGTGGTGGCCTTCCCCTCCAGATACAGAAAGAACTGCTCTGTCAGAAGAAAGGTTTGTTCTGAACATGAGAAGCTAGTTTTCTCTGTGCAGGGGTAGGTAAGTAGGTAGATCAGAGGGACAGATGAGCAGGCCCACTGTCTAGTCAGCCTAGGCAAGAGAGAGCGAGTCTTTGTGTGCAATCGAGCATTTGAACAGTTAAAGGGAGTTATTGGATTAACATCTGACACATCTGACACCTAGGTGAAACTTCCTCCCATCACTGCTTGGTTTGGCTTCCTTAGGACTGACTCACTCAAGAGGGACAGCTGTCCAAAAGTCAATTTTACTTGTTAAAAAACACCTCCCTCTTCCCATCAACGTGTACTAAATTATCGGAAGACATTGACAGCTATTGCAATTCCTCTTTCCGACCGGCTCTTTCCCCAGTGACAGATACTTAGTGAGACCATTTCAGAAAAGATTTAGGAGCTCAGAAGTTACTCCATGAATAAGCTGGTAATAAAACAGAGGCCATTAAAATTCCTGACAGAACAGCTCACCGTATAGCCGCTCAGCGAGTACTGGGGAGTCGGGCCCTCGTGGTTCCTGGGGAAACATAATTAGCTGCTGATTTAGTGCCTTCTGGCTGCTTATGACATTTCGTAGCCTTTTTTTTTTTCTCCTTTGATGGTCATGAAATGTTTCTCAAAGCCAAAGAAGGAAGCTGTGGCGGGTTCGGGCTTCTTCTTGTTTCATAAAAGCTTCTAACATGGCAAGAGAATTGCATACACATGGAAGGAAGAGGGGAGGTTGTAGAATGGAGCCAATACTTCCCACAAGTCATTTTTCTAAGGAAAAAAACACCATTTCTTATTTATTTATATGAAGGATTTCCATGCTGTTCCTCAGCCAAAGCAGCTCCCAGTTCGGCTTACATAAAATCAATTAATCAAGACCATTCCCTCCTCCCCTGCCCACCCAGTGCCCTGCAGAGCAGTGCACTCTGGCTCCTGGAAATCATGCAAAGTGGTGACCAGACAGTCAATGCAATGGCAAAACCTTGGGCTTGGCTGTGGAGGAGAGCGAGCAAGCAAATTTTAAGTATTCCTATTAGAAGTAGTAGTAGCAGCATTTTCTGTCCATGCAGTCATTGTTTTATGCATTATATTATCTGACCATTGTGTGGGGTTTTTATGATTATAAACCACTCTAGGGCATTTACCGGTTGGACAGTACCAAAACTGAATAAATAGAAATGGTTACTCCTGAAAAACCGAGGGAATTTCCTCCTCTCCCTGTAGCAAAAAAGTGAAACACACACACACACACACACCCCACTTTTCCGCATATGCACACAGTGGGGAGAATGCTGAGAGGTTATCTGCATGTTCACACAAATACATGCTCACTTTCCATAGGTTCTGTTCCCAGCATGAGGAAGTTTTGGGGGTGTTAACAAGTCTGAACAAAATGGAGTCGCGTGTTTGTGCTCCTGCTTTAAGAAGCATTCAGCAGAGCTCAGAAGCTCTCTGGGAGTTCCTCCTGCTCTTATTTGCTCTTTGTATACTGGATCTTTGTGCCAGGAGGCGAGCTGATGGGGATGCAAGTTGGAATGGGCAAAAGCTGCCATGGGCAGCCTCCTCCCCTCCTCCGCACCCTCCTCTCTAGGTGCATTTCCATCCCAGAGAGGCAGCCATGACAGTTCTGTTTACTCTGGTGGCAAAGGGAGAAGGGAGTTGGAGTGCCAAGGTTGGACACCCCTTCCTGGGACTCCAAAGAATTTTAAACCCTCCCAGATGCCATCAGGAACCCAGAAACTCACACCAATGGTTATCAGGTTGTTTTGCATATATGTGTGTGTTTCACTCCCCCCCCCCTTTTTTTTTAAAGTTTATAAACTATCTTGAGCTTTGCTTTGCGTGTGTGCTTGCTTTTTTACTTTTAGCAGTGGTATAAAAAGACCAAACTGGAAATGAAACTGCAACACGGCAGCAAACGGCAAAAATTCACTATATGTATTGTTTTCAGGTTGCAGCATTGAAAAGTTGACTTTGACTGATATGTTAAAAATGGGGGAGGGGATACCCTTGCTCTAAACATGTTTACTGGGTTGTAGGCTTAGTTTTACCTCCTTAATTTCCAATGTTCTTGGTGAATTTTGGGGTAGTAGTGTTAATGTCAACAGTGCTGACATTCCAAATTTTATGACTTTGTACCCTCGGGGTCTCTTTCATTTCTCCCTGCCACTTTTTAAAAAGCAACTTCAATGCACTGTTCTTCACAATTGGAAACAATGAACAAATTTTGCATTTGAATGTCTCAAGCAAACACAATTTAGGGCATTCTCCCTCTGCCCCAGAAGAGTTGGTTGAATTTTCACTGGCACATTTCCGTAGTCGCTTTCAATATGTTTTGCTTCTGGTAGTTGTCTCTTATTTGCTAATTGACATCTCTTGTGCGGGCTGTTTATTTTTTGAAGACTTTAAGAAAAACCAGAACTGGTTTCATTGCAACTGGGGAATGAGGAATCTATTTAGAACTAAAAGGGAAAAATATAAACTTTGGAAAGCCAAATTTCCTCTGGGTTCCCATTGTAACATTGCAGCGTTGTTGGCAGTAAGGTGAAATTGAGAAGACTACGGGGAGGTGGGATAGCACTGTGCAAGTTCTTGAAAGGCTGTCATGAAGAGCAAGGACAGGATCTCTTCTTGATCATCCCAGGAAGCTGGATTCTGGCTGGACATCAGGAAAAAAAACCCTGACTGTTAGAGAAGTATGAGAACGGAACAAAAGACCCAGGGAGGTGGTGGGCTCTCCTTCACTAGAGGCATTCAAGATGCAGCTGGACAGGCATCTAAGAGGAATGGCGGAACTTGGAGTCCTGCACTGAGCAGGATGTTGGATCCGTTGGTCTTCTGGCCCCTTCCAACTCTACTTTTCTATGCTTCTATGATCTATCAGAGGTTGGATGGATCCGTCTATCTGGACCAATTTGGTCTACATTGCTTGGCTATTTTTCAGGCAGAGCCTTTCCCACCCACTGCTTCCAAATCCTCTATTTAGCTAGAGGTCCTAAGGATCGAACCCAGAACATCCTGGAAGTGAGGGGTGTGTTTCCATGGAGCTAAGACCTTCTGTTCCTTTGGAAGGCATGGCAATTTATTCATGACACCTTCCATGATCTGCAGAGTTCCAGCGTGAAATGCAGAGACTGCCAAAGCATCTGAGCTGAGCTACTTTGAAAGGAAGATCAGTATGGAATCACCATGTACGGTTTCCTGACCTGCATGATGAAATGCCTGCCTGCTTTCATCATTGGATGCAGAGCTCATACAGAGTCCATATTCTGAGCATTCCTGCCTACAGTGTCTTATCCGTTCAGGTCAACAGAAAGACTCCACACACACACACACACACACACACACACACACACACACACGCATGAACTTTTCTCTGTGTAGAAGGAGTAGCGCCCCATGAAAACATAAGGCAAAGCTCTCTTGGTGCAAGTATTTTAGGTGTCCCTCAAGCGTGGGGCAATACCTCCTGCATCTATCCAAATTCAAGGATCATGAACGGTTCATTTTGGGTGCAGGTTTCATTCTGACCAGTTTTATCCCTTGCAGAAAGTAAGCTTAGGATTCGAACCTCAAAGGTCTTCTGAGTTGTTGTGACTGGTTGGGGTGTGTGGGTGAATGGATATGCCTACAAGGTTGTGGTCAGAATGGAAAACACGGCCATAAAAAGAACTGTGCAGAAATCACAAGTGAAGCTTTTGTGGCACGGCACTTTCTGTTCTAGTTGTGACACTGGATCAAATATTCACTGTTGCTTCAGCTCCTGAATTGGAAATGCTTTCCTCTCCCTCTCCCCCATCAGTCTGGTTGAAGGAAACCATGTATTAACTCCTCTTCTTTGTGTTCATGTCTTTCTCCTTGGCTAGTGATGGGATCTCCCAAGGAAATCACTTTCTCAGATATTACTGAAAACTCAGCTGTAGTCAGCTGGACAGCACCAAGGACTCGTGTGGACAACTTTCGGATCTCCTATATTCCAGTTACTGGAGGTAAGAGAGGAGGATGGTGCATGAACAGAGGTAGCAAGATCTCCTGGTTGTTAGAAAGACAGTTCCCAAAGCTTTCCTTCTTGACTTTGCCTCTGGTGCTGAAACCTGGACTGTGGGTACCCTCATGCATTCAGGCTCCTGTCTTTTCCAGGTCCCCCTAATTCTGTGGCTGTAGATGGGGCCAAGAATAGGATCAAACTGGTGAAGCTGATCCCTGGTGTAGAATACGTTGTCAGCATTGTCTCGGTCAAAGGATTTGAGGAAAGCGACCCTGCATCGGGATCTCTGATCACAGGTATGTACAAGGAGCAAAGTGGGAAGAATTCAGTCCTGCATATACCTGGGGTTCTGCAAAGCACAAGATGCCCACCATCCAAACTTCAGCACAGCTGAAACATCAAGGGATGGAGAGGGAAGGGGGTGGAAGGGACCAGAGCATCGCTAAGTAGTTGCATCTGTTGCCCGTTCTCAGGTTGTCGTAGCCTAAGTTGCAGAAGATTGTGGGCAGGCCTGACTCCTGCTTAAGGGAGTCACAGCAAAGCTTTCTTTGGGAGAGCAGAAATATGTGTCCAGTTCACATCTTAATGCTCTTAATTTCACACCTCCAAATAGATACACAAAGGGAAGCTCAGCCAACCTTCAAATCTGAAGTTCTCCGAACCAACAGAAGCTTGCCAAAATGTAAATATTAGGGAAAGGCACACACAGCAATGCAGATGTTTGTGATAATAATATTAACAATCTGTTGCATTAGGAGACTTCCTTGTCAAAACATACGGCATGCAAAATTACAAACAAGACAGAGGTACAAAGAAATGCGCAAGCACACATTCACATGATTTTCTTGACAGCTTTCCTTGCAAAAACAACTCTCTTATTTCTGGAAGTGAAATAGGAAAACATTCAGGAGGAACTGAAGTTCAGAGTGGAAAAATGAGAAAGGGAGAGAAACGAACACTGACACTGATTTCTCTTTCCCAATAATTTGGACAGGGGATTTAAAGGAAATCAAAACTCCGTCATCACCAAAACACAGGTGTTCTGGAAGGAAGTTCCAAGCATCTGTGGGCAGAATCATTTAGAGAAACAGTGGAACCTTGGACAGCATCAGAAAAACAGTGTGGAAGCATATCCACATTTATATTGTGCAACCTTTGTGATTAACCACAAAGAAGACCTCTGCAGACTCAGGGGCTGATAGATTTTCACCCTTGACATGTATTTGGCTGCAGAGTTTTCTTCAAGCTTCTGTGTTGCCTGAAGTATGTGGTTCTGCCTAAACTTGGAAGCTAAGCAGGGCTGAAATCTGGATGGATGACTTAAATGTTGTGAACTGTCCAGAGAGCTTCAACTTTGGGTGGTACGGAAATGTAATAATGACAATAAATGCTTAGAACTGGAAGGAAAAGAGAGCAAGAGGAACAAGTCACTCCAATATTTCTTAGGTCCAAACTTTGCACGCTGCTGGGAGATCCTGGACTGATAAACCTTTTGAAAAGCCTCAACAGGTCAATTTTGTGCATGAAAACTGATGGAACATCTCCCCTGCTTTTGCTGCTGCTTCTAAAGACTTTGAACAGCAGCAAATCAAAACTGAAAATCCTTTCCTCGGTTTGCAGCCCCCAGCAAGCAGAACTGGAATGACCCTAGGGAGGAAGGCCTCCGTTATTGATTAATTGGACTTGAGTCCTGCCTTTGTACCCAAACCAGCAGGCCATGAGACACTCTGTGGAGCTTTTCAGAAAGCTCAGGCAGCCGGAGGGGCTGCAGGGACAGAATGGGGTAAAGATGGTAAACTAAACCAAGCACGCAAACTCCTCAGCCCCTTCCTCCGGAGAGGTCAGCAGGATGCTACAACCGGTGCAGCTTTTCTTTCCAGCTTTATTGGAGCTGTCTGTGGTGCTGCGGCTCATCCCCAGCAAGGCTTCACCACCACGGAGCACTGCAGAAAGTTCTTCTAATGCTGAAAAGAAAAGCTGCAACGGATGAGGGCCCCCACTGACCGAGAAGTCCCCAGCCTCCCTTGCACCTCATTACAGGAAGGTAACTCTTGCACCCAGAGAAATGTTGCTGACATGCGCCATGCTAGTAGGAATCCGTTGAGTGAGTCACTGCTTGAGTCCCACCTGCCCATCTCCATTTTCATTGCCCAGTGCAATGGTGTATCTCGGCGTAGCATCGTTCCAGGAGGCATTCTGGGGAGGGAAGATGTTGCAGGGGCAATGTGGGAAGAGTGTTACAGAACAGTAGTGCATCGCATGACCCCACTTTCAAAATTCACCCCCAGAATTGCCAAAGTCCACAATTTCACACAATTGTTGGCCATGATTTATTCTTGCTGCTCCTCCCAACTAAAGCTTGAAAATAAATAGATTGAAAAGCGTGGCTTGGTGCTTGTTCAAATATCACATCATTTAAAATATAATGTTTAAGAGATGGGGCCCTCACTCCTTCTAGAAGCCAAAAAATCAGAGACAGAGGTAATCCTTAAGATGATGCACCCTGCCATTTCGGAGCAAAACAGGAGAATGCCTGGCAGTTTGGCCTCTGCAGGTCACGTTCTCCTCCCACAAATCTTACTTGCTCGCAAGTTATCAATGAGCAGCCAGGCCATAACTTGTAAGGCACTTTAAAGCTTACACTCAACATCTTGTTTTGCACTTTGAAAGCAACCAGCACCCAAGACTTTCAGAGAACAGGGGCAATATATCCTGCGAGACTTTCAGAACAGGGGTAACATATCCCGCTACAATATTTCTCCAATCCGTCACCTGATGTTTGTTTGAACATAAGCGTGTTCTGATCAGCGGAACACCATCTTTATCTGTCTTGCTGTGACATTGTATTGTATGTGTGTTTCCCTCTTCTCAGCTTTGGACAGTCCATCAGGACTGAAGGCCGTGAATATCACGGATTCCAATGCTCTGGCTATCTGGCAGCCCGCAATAGCTGCCGTTGATGAGTACATAATTTCCTACATCACTGAGGGCGGTAAGTCATGATTGCACTCTGCCGTCAAGTGGTACCAAGTTGCTGAAACTTGCTGAGATGCAAAAAACAGGTGCAAAATGGAACACTCGGGGTGCTTTTTGAAAACTAAGGTTCTAGTTCTTCATGTTGTGAAGCTAGACACTGCGTGTGTATTTGGAAATGCCACCATGGGATGCATTTCCTGTAGAATATCCAGCCGGTCCAAAGGTCCTCTGTTAATGGACTAGCTGAAATAGAATTAACTCTCCAAAGGATGGAAACTTAGAAACATAGAAACAGAGCGAGTCAGAAGGGGTCTCCCAGGCCATCTAGTCTGACCCCTAGCTCCAGCCGGCTCCACTCATGACATGCCCAGTATTTGCCAGTGTTCAGTCATGATGGTTTCCAGTTTTACAACCATCGCAGGACGTTTTACAGCGTCGATGGTCCACTCTGTTAAGACAGATGATTTTTAAATCTTCACAAAGGGCTTTCACTCTAAAGCAGATTTCCTCAACCTGTTGCCCTCCAGGTGTTGGACTCAGCACCCACCACCTCTGGCCACTGGTGATCTTGGATGGGGCTGATGGGAGCTGAGGTCCAAAACATCCAGTGGGTGTCAGGTTGAGGAAAGCTAGTAAAGGAATTGGGAAGAACTGCATGGGAGGAAGTGTTGGTAGACCTCACGCGGTTCATTGAAGGTCCCAAGGATGCCACGCCCCTCTGTAAGAACATGTCCCAAGGCCTCCAGCATGGGGGGAATGAGGTAGTTGACCCTACACCACACTGGAGGCCTCTGGTGTTCCCAGACCTCATCATTTATTTATTTATTCATTTATTTATTAAAACATTTTAATAAATAATAAATAATTTCCACTGCCCATACCTCTGAGCAAGCCCTGGAACTGATTTTGCAACCAGATCATTTCCAGGTTGCATCAGAAGCAGATGGTAGGCACTTCTTTTCTATACTGATGGACATAATAAGAGCAATGCATGCAAATAGATCAACAGAGCTTGAACAGAGCTGTTTGTCTTCCTTGTTTAGAGCCAGAAGTGACTCACAGTGTCTCCGGCAACACTGTGGAATACGATCTCATTGGCCTCCGCCCAGCATCTGAATACACACTTCGGATCTATGCTGTGAAGGGACCACAGAAAAGCTCAATCATCTCCACCAAATTCGTAACAGGTACCCTGGGCAGTCACGCTGTAGAACAATTGGCCTGAATGGGACTGAAGGGGGCACAGGTCTGCGCACAAACAGATCCCCCAGGATTAGGAACAATTGGGGCCCAGCTCAAAGGGCTTCCTGGCCCGATTCTGAATAGGGTCAGTCCTTCGGGGTGGGGTAAGTTTACATGCTGGGCTCTCTCTGCCAAGCTCTCCCATCATCTCTCATTTGAATGCATTCCTTGGACAGAGCAGCCTTTCCAGCCTAATGCCATCCCAATGTGTAGGACAGCAAACACTGTGCTAGCTGGGGATGATGGGGATCATAGCCCAATACACCCGGTGAGCGCCCAGTTGTGGGATGTTGGGTTGCATTTACAAGTGACAGCTGTACTGCTTGGTTTATCCCATCTGTTGAGATGCCCCCAACTTCTTGTCTTGGGTCTAGGCCTCGATGCACCAAGAGACCTGACTGCCATGGATATTCAGTCGGAAACAGCAGTGCTAAAGTGGAAGCCACCCCGTGCCTCTGTCACGGGTTACCTCTTGATCTATGAATCCATTGATGGCAAGGTCAAGGTGAGTGCTTGGGTCCCACCTGGCCGTCTGTGTCCATTGCCCAGTGCTTTGGTGTACCCAGCATAGCATTGTCCCAATGGGCATTCTGGGAAGGGAAGATGTTGCAGTGGCAACATGGGAAAGTGTTGTGGAACCCCACCTTCAAGAACCACCCCACAGAATTGCCAAAGTTCTCTCCACAATTTCACAGGCCTTGGATGCAATTGCAAATTTGTGGGGGTCCTGGCTGGAGGGGAGGCACTGGACGTCTCTTCGCAGAGGCTGAAGGGCCATCTGTCAGAGAAGCTGAAGCTGCAAGATTCCTGTGCTATACAGTGTGGGGATGGGCTAGGTGATCTCATAGGACCCTCCACAGCTGAGTCCATGAAGAACCTTCCTAAATTTTCTTCAGTCGATAAGAGTCTTGGAATTGTGCAGCCAAATTATTTTCCTGTGCCAGTGAAGGTCCTTTGGCACCATTTAGGATGCTCTTCTAAGGAGTGGTAAGATCAGCCCCCAGAAAACAACTTTCAATCATCAATTTATGTATTTTATTCTGATTTATGTTGTAAGCCATTCAGAGACGCAAGTAATGGACAGCATGCAAATTTTAGATAGACAGACAGACAGACAGACTCCCCCACCACCATTTAGTGCAGCCATGTAAAAAGAGGAGTATACATCTAAATATCTGATGCACTTCAATCGTGAAGCAACACTAGTGCAAATATCAGATGTACAAGGGCCTGCCCCAACTATTTATCATTTTTTGGCTACGCCGCTTGAACATTGACCATAAGAAACATTCATTTTGGGACTACTATCCTCCTGCTCCTAGCGGGGAGGACAGCTTTGGCAGATGCCATCAGAAGGATCTGTATCTTCATCCATCACTGATATTGTTTTCTTAAGGGAGCATGCATGATTGATCAAAGAGCATCCAGGCTTGTAAAACCTGTAAGAACTTGTGTTTTCTCCAAGGGAAAAAAAAAGGTCTTCCATTATTGATTCTCCCGACAGGAAGTTATCCTGGGACCAGAGGCGACTTCCTACAGTTTGTCTGAACTGAGTGCATCCACTCAGTACACAGTGAAGCTGCAGGCACTAAACCAGAGCTTAAAGAGCAAGATCATCCAAACTGTTTTCACCACAAGTAAGAAATCATTCAGGGTTTGTGGGGATAGTTCTGCCAAAGCAAAGCCACCCCAGAAAGGAATTCCTTGCAGCAGGTCCCGCAGTGCAGTATTGGAATGCAATGTCCATTTCAGGTCGCCTCCTCTCCCAAGAAAGAAGAAAGATTCTGTAGGCCAAGGGTGGGAAAGGGCTACTTTGGGAGCCATGGCTAGATCACAGTAGACTGTGGAAAGCTTGGTGGTGTTGCTGAAAAGGAATTCCTGGGTGGTATCTCAGAGACACCCCCCTCCTTAATTCTAAGGACATGTTTCCCTCTCACAAGCCAATTTTATGTCCAGTCGGTTGACATCAGGGTTGTAGGAGAGACGGGGGGATCTGCAGATACAGGCATTTTCACAAGATGGTTCTGGAGATAACATTTTGTTAAAATGCACAGCTCATTAAATTAAAGAAATGCAGGCTGTTAAGCATAAGCCAACATCCTCCTAAAAGCTAGCAAAAGGGGCACTTCTCGCGGAAGACCAGTCTAGAGCTCTGGGGCCACCACAAGGAAAGGACCTGCTTCTGGTATTTAGGATTCTCTTATCACTCTCATTGTGGGCAAGGCTTGGGAACCAGAACATACATCTTTAAAATCCCGATTTAGCAGCAATTTTTTTTTTTTTTTTTTGCATTTTTGCTCTAGAGTAGGCACAGGGGGCACAATCCACATGTGTATTCCAGCAGGGGGGGGGCAGGGGATGGCTCTTGTTCCACATCCACTCTGGAGCAAACAAAGACAATGTGACAATTGAGATTTTAAGTAATGCTTATTTTGGTTCTTGGCTGTGGATCTTAAAGCCTAGCAAGCTTATATGAGTGAAGGTGATTCTGCAGGTAAAGATCCAAACATTAAGCAGAAAGGATGAATCTTGTGTGGGTACAGGGGACAGAGCTGGGAAAGTCATAGAAACATGGAAACACAGAATAGTTGAGCTGGAAGGGGCCAGAAGGCCCTCAAGTCCAACCCTCTGCAGTTTCAGGACATCAAGTTACACCATCCCACTCAGAGGGCTGCCCAGTTTCTTCTTGAATGTCTCCAGAGTGGGAGAGTCCACCACCTCTCCAGGCAGCTGGTCCCACTGTCATATTGCTCTGACAGTGAGGACACTTCTCCTGCTGTCCAGCCTGAATCTGGGTTGTTGCAACTTGAGTTGATTATTCCGGGTCCCACATTCTGGCATCAGCAAGAAGAGATCTTGATCTTCCTCTTTGTGACAGCTTTTGAGGGCTGCCACAAACTGTGAAGGAGGACACCACAGAAGAGAGGGCTTGTGCAGAGAAGAAGCAGCCACAGAAACTTTCCATGCTAAGCAGGGGAGCTTATCAGACAAAAGGTGCTGGAAGGCCAGGTCCAGTCTGCTACATGTCTCAGGATTCTGAGCAAGTTGAAGTCTTCTTCTTGGGTTGAAAGAACTCTCAGGGGACCTGGTAATGAGCATCTCCTTGGCTTATCTTCTTTGCAGCTGGACTTCTGTACCCTCATCCCAGAGACTGCTCCCAGGCTCTGCTGAATGGAGAAACCGTGTCTGGTCTCTACACAATTTATCTTAACGGGGATCAGTCTCAGCCAGTGCAAGTGTACTGCGACATGAGTTCTGATGGAGGTGGATGGATCGTGAGTATTTAGTTCATGTTATGCTCTTCTTATTCTGCTAGCTTACCAACAGAAGCTGCTTGTTGTTCTTTGGGGAATTAAATAAATTAACAATTCCCATTTATCAGCTAAGAACAATTTTAGGACAACTTAAACTGTCATAAATGCTCCATCAGACCATTCAGTACCTTTCAACGCCTTTCAATGCCTGGGAGTAGAGGGCAGTCTTAACCTAGCACTGGAATGATGACAGGGTGGTGCCAGGTGAGTCTCAGGGGATAGATTATTCCACAGTTGGGGGCCACCATTGATAAGTCCTTTCTCCCTTGTTGCCACCCTCCAAACCAACCTGGGAGCTGGCTCTTGGAGGAAGATCTTAGAAGATGATCATGGTACCCAGGAAGATTCGAGCTGGGAGGGGTACTTCTTCAGGTATTACGATCCCAGGACCCGTAAAAGTTTACATGCTTCCTCGTTCAACCCATGAGGTTGGATCTCCATACCACCACTTACTTGGATGGAGGCAAAACCACAAGGATGCAGTGCTAGCCAACTGGCCTCAAGCTGGCAACCTCCAGATGGTTTGGATTACAGCCGCCATCATCCTAGTGAGCCCACCCAATGGACATGGATGAAGGGAACTGTAGTGCAATGCACCTGGAGGACATCAGGCTCCCCGCCCACAGTGCGGACAATCTAGATGGGCCAATGACCTGGATACAAAGTGGCTTCCAGAGGCCCATAAGAGAGTCACTACCTGCACAATTATCCCAGACCTCCAATCCTCATTCTAGGGCCAAGTGTAGGTCTCAGGCTGAGAACAGAGCATCTCCCCCCACAGCTTCAGGTAGCCAAGAGGCTAGCAGATCGTGCTTGCTAGTAAAACAAGAAGCCAAGGTAAGTCATGTCCCATTCATTCACTAAAACAGCAGTGTTTGTTTTGGGTGTCCTCAGGTGTTTCTAAGAAGGCAGGATGGAGCAGAAGACTTCTACAGGAACTGGAGGACTTACGAGGCTGGTTTTGGAGACCCCAAGGGTGAATTCTGGCTAGGTAGGACACTCATCACAGTACCCGAGCAGCTCTTCTTTCAGCTTTGGATAAACGCTTCACTGGACCTCCCACAGTCTTTCTCCAGGGTTTGGTCATCCTGACAACAATCCCATTTCAGTGCCAGTGTTTTCCCCTTGCTCATCCCAAAGCCAGAGTGTCTCTGAACGTGGCTGGAATTCCAGGCTCCCCCAGCCTTGTGCTCTCCAGATGTTTGACAGACAGCTTCCATCACAAGACTAACCAACTGTGATGGTTGGGGAGGATGGGATTTATAATCTAAAAGGAGCACTAGGTACTCTGCTCTGCCTCTCTTTACCTTGGGTTCCTCAGGGTAGCATCTCTGCCTACCCACAACCCCAAAGCCCATTCTTGGCATGTCCTGAAGAATCACACATGGTCCCATTCTGGGAAGAAAAACAATGAAGGCCAGCCAGTGAATGACACCAATTGGTGCTGAATCCATCAATCAGTCCCTCCCAGCAACTCCCCTGCAAATTCTTCCACTTCGCATTGGGTTGAAAATGGGGGTGGGCATTTCAGCCCACAACCCCCTATACACAACATGAGAGTTGAAAGAATGTTGACAATAGGAATTGTTTTTCTCCATTTGTTTCACGCTTTAGCAAAGCGTTACCATCTTGGCACGGTGGTGACAAATAAACGATGGTGTGATTTTGCTTCTAGAGGACTAGTCTCAAGGAAAGTATGACTGAGTGCAAACTTGTTTAAGGGTCAGAAGATGAAAGAAACATCTAGCGTTTAATGTTCTCTCCCCCCTGCAGGTCTGGATAATCTTCACAAAATCACTTCGCAGGGCCAATATGAGTTGCGTGTGGATTTGCGGGATCATGATGAGACTGCATATGCGCTGTACGATAGGTTCACTGTAGGGGATGCAAGGACTCGCTATCGGCTGAAAGTAGACGGCTACAGTGGCACAGCAGGTACAATTTTTTGTTGCTCATAGAAGGTGCTTCCTCTGAAGATCCTTCATGGTTTTACCAAAGAACCAGATCATCTTATTCTTATTACTGCTGCTACAACCACATGGATTCCTACGTAGCAAAATATGAACGTATGCCATCAGAGATCAAAACTCTAGCCTCTTGAATTGTAATTCCTGTGTCTTATATGTTCAGACAAAAGTTCAGACTCTTGAGTGTTTCACAACTTGAACAATTCTCCAAAAGTTCTTGCAAAGTTTTAGATCCAACCTTGCAATGCATGTTTGGCTAAAGTAATGCACATCTGTATTGCAAAGGGGAGGTGTTTACATTTCCTTCAGAAAGTGGCAGCCAGGTCAGAGCGTGAATAAACTAGCAGAGGTTGGACACTTAGTAGCATAGACTGCAGGGTCAAGATGCATCTCCAGGTTCATTGGAGGCCTTGGTGCCTGGGCATTCGTCAGGCTGATGGAGTGATACGGACACCGCCCTTATCCCAAAGCATCCAAGCTTTGCAGAGGAGTCCTCCCAAGCCTCTTCTGTCTGTCCCATTTCCCCTCCTCCAACTTGCCCTACCTTAGAAGTGTAAATTGATTAGATACTGGGGATTAGAGAAACTCACCTGGAAAGGTTGCATATATGTAGGTATGTATGTCTGTGTTTGGGTTTCTGCTTCGTACTAATGATCTGAAAAAACAGAAGAGCTACAGAGTGAGCTGGGGGTGGGGAAGGCTTTTCCATTGGGAATTCAGAGTCGACTGCACCTCTTTTTTATAATTATATTGGAGCTTCCGATGCTCTCTGCCAACAGAGACTTGACTGCCTGAGAAATGACAACGTACTCCTCCTCCCCCCCTCCTCCTCCCCTCCTCCTCCCTACAACTCCACACAGGTGATTCCATGATGTACCACAACGGACGGCCCTTTTCCACTTTTGACAAGGACCACGATTCAGCCATCACCAACTGCGCTTTATCTTATAAAGGGGCTTTCTGGTACAAGAACTGTCACCGAGTCAACCTGATGGGCAGATATGGGGACAACAGCCACAGTCAGGCAAGTGGGATTTATTTTCACTTAAAATACATGGGCTGGGGCAGGACAACCTAGAACCCTCCAGATATTTCATACTACAGCTCCCATCATTCCTGACCATTGCTCGTGCAGGCTGGAGCTCATGGGAAAATCCCACTCACTTTCACAGCTGCTATGAGGTTGGCTGCTAAGTTAAGCGGATGTCCCAGAAGGGTGGTGGATTTCTGTTTGCATTTCTTATACGAAGGCTGCTATTTCCCCAGCAAGAACCCAGGTGGCTGAGCTGATCCTCCCCCTCCCCATTTATCCTCACAAGACCCCCGTGAGGTGGGGTGGGCTGAGAACACCCAGCGAGAGGTCAGTCCAAGAGCAGACCAGAACCTGCCTTCCCCAGGTTCAGGTGGACATTCTTGCCACGACATCGCACCAGCTCAATGACTGACAATTAAAACTGGGGGGTTTTGACCACATGTCATCATGAATATAGTGGAACCAAAGCTTGCCTCTTTTCTCTGACAGTTCCTCAACTATAACGGTGGTCACATGCCATCAAGTCATCTCTGACTGATGGGGACCCTATGAAGGAAAACCCTCCAAGCTGGCTTGTCCTTCACAGCCTGTTCAACTCCTGTAAACACAATGTTAATTACCACATTATTGTTGTTGGGTTATCATTATATATTACATTACAATTGTAAAGTAATAGTGCTGTTGGGTTATTGGCTAAAGATACATAAGAAAGGAAAAGATACATACATAGGAAAGATACATATCTTTAAGCATTGCACAAAGTTTGTAATGACAAACTTTTCTTTAGAAATTAAAATAATAAATGAACATCATGCAAAGGAACTCAAATCTTTAGATTTTCTTCAGAAGGACTTATACCTAAATATAGCCAATGTCAGCAAACTAATGAATTATGTTCAGCAGAACAATGAATAAATATGAACCAGTGATTGCACAAATGTTTAGCAACCTCTCCTGTGACTGTATTTAGATCTTAGTCAACAATTAACTCACCCCCGCACCTCTGTCTAGTCATGCCTTTCTCTACTTCTTCCAAGAAACTCTCCAGGCTCTTTCCTTATGCCTGTGACCTTCACCCCACAAGAGCACAGCCAGTGTGGTGAAGTAGCTAAGAACATGGATCTGGGACTCAGGTGATCCGGGTTCGAGTCCCTGCTCAGCCATGGAGCCAACTGGGTGACTTTGGGCCAGTCACAGACACTCAGCCCAACCTACCTCACAGGGTTGTTGTTGTGGGGATAAGACTGAGTGCTGGAGGATGAGAAGGAAACTGCTTTGAGCTCCTTGATGGAAGAGTAGCAGGATATAAATGTAATAAATAACATTTGTATCATTCAGGGTGTCAACTGGTTCCACTGGAAAGGCCACGAATACTCCATCCAGTTCGCCGAGATGAAACTAAGACCCTCCAACTTCAGGAATCTAGAAGGGAGACAAAAGAGAGCATAACTCATCCCATACACACGGAGAGAGCGACAGAGTGAGAGAGAATGAGTTGGCAAAGGATGTTGGGTTCTCTCCCCCAGCCCAAAAACCGGGGAAGGGAGATCAGCAATGGAGATGGGATTGTAACCAAAGCATCAGTGTTGCTTGACCTAACCTTGGCTCCTTTGACCATTTTTATCGGGTGGGGTGGGATGGGAAAGCCTTCTTCGAAAGCTAGCGTGCTCTGCTGAGCACCTTCCTTCTGTCTGTAGCTGACTTTCTTTGCACCAAAGATGGCAACCTCCAGGGAGGGGCGGGTGGGGACCTTGGTTTGTCTCGGTGGGTTTTGACGACATAAATCTTTTGATGTGGGCTCAGAGGAGAAGCAATGGGTGGCAGGACAGCATCCGACAGTTTCTTCCAACAGGACCATGCGGTTGCTCTTTCACACGTACCAATAGAAATCACTGTTCAGGATCCACCATCTTTAAACTGCTCATCTGGAAGCATATCTGTCAGTGTGTGTGTGAGTGTGTGTGAGTGTGTGAATATGTTTGCCACAGAGGGGCGGGGGGGAAAGGAGGGCACTGAATCAAAAGGTCCAGTTTAAACTTTGCAACCTAAAATTAATATTATTAATATAATGAAAAAATAATAATGCTAAGGATGGTGATGATTAATAGGAAACTAAAGTTTTGTCATCTTTTTTTTTATACTTGCTTTCCAAAACACAGTGGGACAGTTTCTGATTGTAAATTTTTTAAAAAATAAATAAAAGCACAATTTTACTTTTACAAATCTCCCATTTTCTTCCTGCATTGTGTTGCATTTTGCACAGTCAAGGAGTGGGTTGGTACATGGGTGTGTGTGCATGAGGGAGAGAGAGAGAGAGATGTATTTAAGGGCACTTAAATCCATTTAAGTAGAGACGGACTCTAAATAAATAGAGACATTTTCAGATTAAATCCCTGGCACTTCTCTCCATGAAAAGCAACCTTTAACTTACACACAGATAAAAATGGGGGGGGGGGGGTCTTGTAGCACCCCAACATTTATACTGAGGATTTGTAGATCAGCTGCTCCAGGACACATGACTCAAAGCTCTTGGCCTGATAGATTTGATTCCCCTGGGAAATTTTGACCCTGGCTTGTTGAAAAACCAAAGGATGCTTCCATTTGGAGTTAAAGATGCACTTGGTGGTGGTGGTGGTGGTGGTGGTGGTGGTGGTGGTGGTGGAGAAAAGGGAGGGCTCACTCACCGTATCGACAGTTCAAAATATCCCTCTGCTACTGTAGTGAGAGAGAGAACATGCCATTGTGTTTGTGTGTACAAATAAACATGCGTGTTGGAGATCTGCTGTGATTCACAGTGAGTTTTCTGTAGGAGCACAGAGTTAGCACAGATAGAGGACGGAAGTGCTTCCATCAATTGAAGGATATCGACAGGTTAGAGTCAGTGCAGCGCAGGGCCACAAGGTTGGTGGCCGGTTTGCAGGGGATGCCGTATGAGGCGAGACTGAGGGAACTGGATCTCTTCAGCCTGGAGAAGAGGAGACTCAGAGTGTATATGTTGGCAACATGCAGGTATGTGAGGGCGTATCACACAGAGGTGGGCAGAGGAAGGCAGGACGTGCTCCAGTGGAGCAAAGCTCAGGGAGCCAAGGTTCCATTTGGGTGCCAGGAAGCACTTCCTGACAGTTAGGACCCCAAGGGTGTGGAATGGGCTTCCACGAGAGGTCGTTGAGGCCCCATCGGTGCGGGTGTTCAAGGACAGGCTGGATGTCCACATGGTGGGCATGTCGTGAGTGGAGCCGGCTGGTGCCGGAGGTCAGACTAGATGGCCCAGGAAGCCCCTTCTGATTCATTCGCTCTGTTTCCACCATTTACCCTCTTTCCACTAACTCCTGTCTCTCTCATTCACTCATTGCCTCAGTCTTTTCCAAAAATCTTTCTTTTCACCACAAGATGGCAGACTTGCTACATTTTGGAGAACAAAGAATTTTTTGATGCCCGAGAACTTTGCAGACTGGCGAATGTCTCTGCTTGTCTAAGCACCACATGGGACTTGGACATCATTTGTTGACACCACGAAGTGTCTTGGGAATTTCTGGGGGTTTATCACATACCCCAAGATCATTTATGAATTTACGTTTACGAAGGATGTGTGCAACTCTGCACGTCTCTCAGCCGGAATGGCTCAAGGCCAGCAATCATGCCAAAGTCTTTTTTCTTGGGCTATCTGCTGGCTGAGAGAGAAAGAGAGAGAAGGCAAAGGAGTGCAAGAAAAACTATCATTAGTCAGTCTTGGTGGTCAAAAACCTGAATCATGAGGATATGATTCAAAGGAGAATCTTAAGGACTTCACTGAAGTGAGAGAATCACTGCTTCTCAATTCTCAATTATTTGAGTTCCTTTTATCCATTGATCTATCCATCACTCCATCCATCCATATATCTATAATCCATTGACTATCCAACCGCAACCCCCATAAAGTCAAGTTATTATGCTGAGCGGTCAGAGATTGTGGGAGCTGTAATTCAAGGCCACCGGGCCGCCTTCTCTTGCTTTATCCTTCCCCAGTCTGGTGCCATCCAGATGCTTTAGACTAGCTCTTCTCACCTCCAGCCAGCGAGGTGCATGCCCAGGCATGCTGGATGTTGTAATCCAGAACATCTGGAAGCTCCCAGAGTAGAGAAGGCTGCAAAGAAGGACAGGGTTCTTGTACCTTTCATAGATGTGAGATACAGAGGACTTTGGGAGATGCAGCTCTGCTCTGCTCTGCGGTGCTTTTGTAGGGCCACCCACACAGGCAGGTGGCCCCTCTTCTGGCAGATGCTTGCAGGCTTTCTTCTGGTGGGGCCAGCAGCATATCTCACATGACTGCAGGCCGGTTATAACCCTGCCTACTTCCCAGACAGCGCAGACGTCATCCGAACTGAGCAAGCAAAGATGGGAAACTGCAACAGCCATGCTGAAGCCAGCCCGGAAGTGTGTTTTCTGTTCTGCCATCTCTTTGCTGTCATGACCACATCAAATAGCAACTTTTGCACTGGCTTATGCGGATGCAGCTGGCGGTGAAGAAGTGAAGTACTGCAAGGGTGACTCTGTACCCAGCCGCTGCTTTAATTTAGGTTCTTTCCTCGGAAATTAATATATATAACAATTTCCTGTGCTCTTACAGTAAGGCCCGCACCAAAGATAGAAAAGAGAATAGGCAGAACAAAACGCTAATGTTTGATCAAACCGTTCACCACAGCGAGTGAAGAGGCAACAGGCCAGTGCTTATCTCCCGCCTTTTCCTATCCAATAATGAACCAGTAGGCAGGGATTATCCCATTTTTCAGTATTGATACAGCACTCAGAAGGTTTGGGTAACTTTGTAAGGGTTGGACGATGCATTAGACAGGTTCTTCCAGAAGAATTCAGCAGGCAGTGTAGCAAACTTTCCCAGAAGTCTAAAACCAGGAGAATTTCTTGAAGTCATGGCAAGGCCTTCAACTTGTTTGGCGATGGCAAAAAAAATGGCGATAGGCTCTGAAGCAGCCTTCCACAGGCATTTGGTAGAGAAGGGCTGCTTTTGCTAGAAGAATGGATCTGGTTGCCTTACTTGAGCAGCCTTGCTCAGAGGAAGGGATACTTAGCTCCTGCAATACTGACCAACTCTGCCATGATGGGAAACAGGAACTGTATAAAGTCCATGGCAAGAGATGTGGCCTTTCATTCTTGACCCTGGGAGAAGAATAGATGCATTGCTCACCCAGATGACTTTGGAAGCTCTCCAAGGATCCTCTGGCCTATTTAGGGATCCAATATGGCCACAAATAAAGGAAATACAAGCTTCTATTCACTTGTTTATGTTCTGCATCCATATTTTATCACTGTGTTGATTAAATCATCTCCCCTTGTCATTGGAGTTTTCATGTCTTATTTATTTTACTTATTAAAAGCTTTTCTGTCCCATCCCCTACAGAACATTTTCCTAGGTATCCTCAAGTCTTAGCTTGAAACACACAGAAAGCACAGGATCTGCTACTTTGGAGATTTGTAGACTCCTGGAAGAAAGAAACACCTCAGTTCTTTGGGGGAGCATCTTTGTGCAAAACTAAAAGAGAAGCTAGACCACTGTGGTTTTTCAAGAGAACTTGGATATCTTCAGTGTTGTGAAATAGAAGTTCCTCTGGGACTCTCTTCCTGTCTGCTTCTAAACTTCTATAACATTACAGCAATGCATGAGACAGCCAAGAAATGATGCATAGCGAGAGCCCATGGGCTCTTCCTTCCGTGGCTCAGTTTGGACCATGACTTTGGCAGTTCCAGGAATGCATGAATCTGTCCGGCCCACTTCCATGGACTTTCTCCATTTTCCACCTCCAGCTTATTTGCTATTGCCCCATGCACTGTTTTAAAAATAGAGCTGAATTATATGGAAAGGTCTAAGTTGCTGGAGATGGGTTCAGTGAATCTTTTCCATATGTTTCGGATTACAAGCATTTTGGTACTCAGTCATTCATTAATGGAGGTATATTTGTAGGCTGTTTTTTTGATGTATTTGTATTTTGCATACTCTTTTCCCCCAAAGGCATGCATTTTACTGGGCTTGTTGTGTTCCAGAAAAAGCAACACATGACTGGAAATTTATGGATTTCTAAATCTATACTCAGCATACTAAAAGCAGAGACATCACCCTGCCAACAAAAGTGCCTAAAGTCAAGGCTATGGTTTCCCCAGTTGCAATGTATGGCTGTGAAATCTGGACCATAAGGAAGGCTGAGCGCCGAAGAATTGAGGCCTTTGAATTGTGGTGCTGGAGGAGACTCCTGCGAGTCCCTTGGACCTAGAAGAGATCAACCCTGACTACTTCTCAGAAGGCCAGATACTGAAGATGAAGCTCACATACTTTGGCCACCAAATAGAAGGAAGGACTCCCTGGAGAAGACCCTGATGCTGGGAACGATTGACAGCAAGAGAAGAAGGGGACGGCAGAGGATGAGGTGGCTGGATGGAGTCACTGAAGCAGTCAGTGTGAGCTTAGGTGGACTCCAGGAAGGCCTGGTGGATTGTTGTCCATTGGGTCACAATGGGTCGGATGCGACTTTGCAACTAACAACAACAACAGCCGCTTTGTATACTTCACAAGAGGGGAAAAAAGATGGGATATAAATGCAGTGTAATATCGAGCTCCTGAAACTTTTTGGGAGAGCC